TCTGTTTTAAGTTAACAAACCCTTAAATATGACAACAACAATAATAAAAAAAATTTAACTTCTCTACACTTATACAACTATTCTTCAAAATCTACACTTGTCTTCTATTCTTACCACTTATAATTGATTATTAGCCAATCCAGATATGCATACAGTCTTTTCTCGATTTCTTTTCAAAGACTATACATCGTTTAAATTTGTCTCCTATTTACTGTTTTTTTCACCTTGTTTTGTTTCAATAATAGTTTAAATTTTATTTCAATAAACCGTCAAAAAAAGAGGAGTAGAAACCAAAAAAACTATTTCTTTTTCTACCTTAAACTAAAACAAAAAAAAGAGATGTTCACTTTGATCAACAATCAACAACACCACTATCACTTTAATTCACTTTCATTTCCCACTCTACTTTTGAGTTTTTTCAACGCCCACAATAAGCAATTATGCTAGCTTCTTTTTTAGCCTCGCCAAAAAACATACTCTCCTCCTCCTAAACAAAAAAAGAGAAAAAAAAGAACTAAAATAAAAATTCAAGCATAAAATTCAAAGTGCAATAGTTTAATTATGACTAAGGTAACACTATTTACTAAACGTAATCCATTCACTGAATTTTAGTTCTCCAATTTGCCCATTAACAGATCAGTTTAATGTCGGCAACTTATCGCTGCTCAGTAGCGTTGTCCGTTAATCGTCCCGGTCATCCTCATAATATTCACCATCGTCGTTGCCATCGCCTTTCCGGATATATTTTAGCTGCTGAACCTACTTAATTTTTCTTTTATTTCCATAAGCAAATTTCAACGACTAAATTTTCTTCAGTGATAAGCAGTTATGTTAAGTGTACTTCTTAGTCTGCCTTCCTCGCTTTTTAAAATATAAGATCACTGGGTTTGTACTTTTATAAGCAAAAAACTTAACAAAAATGGCTTTTTCGCCTCACGCTAGTCACGGAAACATTCTTAACCTTGTATTTATTTTAACAGATTCATTGAACATTTACCATATGTTAACGAAAAATTGTTCGATCGCGTAAACGAACACCTTAAAACAAAGCATACTTAAGCATATTTATACATATATGTATACTGTACTAAGCAGCGTAACCTCCAGAACCAAAATCAACTTTTCGCTAGTCTTTTTAAAAAGGCGCTGAACCATTCACGAAACCCCCAGCAAATTTAAAAGCCACTTTTATATCATCCATTTCTCAAAGCCATCATTCATCCATCTGACCGCGTCTATACCAATTCTTCACTTAACTTTTACCATTAAAATAAACCCATAAAACTATATTTTGTAGCCGTGCCATACGTTATTAAAGTCAACCATACTTATATGAAAATACTAAATTTGCCTATTGACAATGTAAGTGATTGCAAAAAGATGTCGTATGCTCAGTCCCCTTTTCGTTGATCTCTAAAACCTAATTTATTACGTAAAAAAACCCTTTTTTTTCTTTTCCTCTACTTTTTTT